GCGATTTAGTCATTTAAATTTGTCAATAGTGAGCGTTTTTCCTCATTGTCAAATATTTTAACGATTGTTTATTTAACAAAAAACTCATATTCTGTAGGCGTAATTTTTGTACTTTTTACAATTTTTGATATCTAGTGCAACATATACTATTTTATAAAATCTATTTCTAGTGTGTGATGTAGATTTTTAAGATTGCAATATTTGAGATTTGATGGAAACATGTAACTCTCTTCCCCATAGTTCTTGTTGTTGAGATGATTTTAGAGAAAGGATGAAATAGTAATTGTATTACTAGAATTCTGTTATAACAGATTATGAAGTAGTTAGTTAGACTAGTCAGTTAGTTAGTCATTCTATAAATAGTAGTAGATACACTAAATGTACATTCATTCTGTATTCATTCTAATCAATACACACAAGCAGTTATTTACTCTCTCTGTTAAGCTCTAAGAATGATCTAGAAGATCTTCATTACTTCTTCAATGGAGGTTTTATCACTTGTAATGCTGTAACTAGACTTCATTCTTTTAACATTTGTATACTTTATGAAGAGATGTGCATTCCTTTATTTTTGTCTCCAAGTATATGATCCATTGACTCACTGAGTGACTTTTACTTACCTCTTCGCTGGAGTCCCTATGTCTTAAAATAATTCCAATATAAATAATTTATTAAATACTTTGTTGGAGTCCCTATGTCGTTACGGGGATTGATGATCATTTGTATGATTTTATCGGAGTAGTTTCGGGGCTAACATAGAGACCATAGGAATCGCCAGATGCAAGGCTGGTACAAAAAGATTGATATCCATTTGTTAGCGAGATAGGAGATAAGTTATGCCATTACTTAGAAATTAGAATCGACTGTGGGTTATCCGTTACCCTTGTGTATGATTATACTGCATTTCTGCTTCCAGTGTGGAATGTCTTAGAGTTGCAAGTACGTTTGACTTTCCGTTAATGGAGGATGAAACCGGTGAAGAAAAATATTATAAAGGGACTATTGTATGCTTGACTCGTGTTTTCAATGATTTGCTAAAAATAATGAAGTTGTCTTTTAAGGTTGCTGGGTTCGGAAGAGGAAGGAAAAGACGTATCTCATAATTCTGAAGCACTAAAATAATATATCAAAACTGTATAATAATCTTGAGAATAAGTTTTAGATGAGGCAAGTAAAGACTTCATTGTGCTTTCGGATAGTTTCATTTGCAAATAAATCAGAAGATTACGAGTGAGTTTTTCAGCACAAAACGGTAACAGATTTTGATGTACAGAGGCATTTGGCAATTATGATGCTTTCAGAAGTTGGAGACGATGAGAGGTATCAATGCAACGTGCTCATCGACAGGTCTAAATTGTTGAAATATTTGTTCCAGTGCATTGGAATAATTGCCAAACTCAAACATCTGCGACACAATTTCTTTTGTGGAATTCAAAAATGAAGAAACTTTTGGACATAGTGTCAAAATTTAATTTCACAGAAAGTCTGGTGTCGAAAAGTTCAAAACCAACAAATATTATGATATCATTTCTCTGTTCCTTTCTGCTGTCTTTACCAATTCAAATCAACAAATCTATCACCTATTAAGCGTGCAACACACGTGTCCGAGAACAAATATACCAGGTCAGATTACAACAGCAGAAAAAAGAAATTAAAATCCTACAAGATCGCATTGCAAAATGGAAAAAGATTTAAAATTATACCAAATCGACCACATCATAAAACTGTATAAAGGAAAGTCTATACTATATTGAATTGGGAAAATGCATAAGTACCCCCAGCCTATGCCCAAAATCCCTGAGACACACTAACCTTTACTAAGGTCCTATTACCCCCCTCGAACTTATTTTTTAATTAATTTTCTACCCCTTTTCGGCCTACGTGGTACTATCCTTGAAAAAATTGTCAACACGCGTTGGGCCCACAAGATAGTGCCACGTAGGCCGAAAAGGGGTAGAAAATTAATTAAAAAATAAGTTCGAGGGGGGTAATAGGACCTTAGTAAAGGTTAGTGTGTCTCAGGGATTTTGGGCATAGGCTGGGGGTACTTNNNTTTATATGTAATATTTTACCCCTTTTTGGCCTACGTGGCACTGTCTTGTGGGCCCAGCGTATGTTGACATTTTTTTCAAGGATGGTGCCACGTAGGCCGAAAAGGGGTAGAAAATTATATATAAAATAAGTTTGGGGGGTAATAGGACCTTAATAAAGGTTAGGGTCTGCCATAGATTGTAAAGGTTGCAATTTCTGAGATTTGACGGAAACATGTAATTCTTTTTCCCCATAGTTTTTGTTATGTTGTGGCTTCATTCTTTCAAACATTTGTATACTTTATGAAGAGTGGGGCATGCCTCTATTCCTGTCTCCAAATATGTGATACATTGACTCATTGAATGACTTTTACTTACCTCTTCACTGGAGTCCCTATGTCTTAAAACAATTCCAATATAAATAATTTATTTAATACTTAATTAGAGTTTCACTTTTACAAATGTAAAGGACTTAAACATTTTTAAATATAGTAAAGGGACAAATTGTTAATTTGAACCATTTTGCTGAAAGTGTTAGGCTAAAAGTGAGATTTTTTAGTTGAAAGATTCAAGTCTTTCAGAGATTTCTCAAGTGGTGAATGGCTTGAATTTCAAAGAATTTGTGGGACATGATCAGTGTGCATTGGGAAAAAATAATTACCAAAAATTTAGGCTAAAAGTAGAAAACTTTAGTTAAGTAGATTCAGTCTTTCAGAAGAAGAAAGAAACTTATTCGGTATATTCTGATCCGTTATCGAGGGTCACTTGATCTGTACGCATGCTTAACAAATGGGGACAACCAAATAAAAAAATGGCCAATTTAGTCATGGTAGAAAAACAAGTTATTCGCTCCGCAGGAGTGAGATTATATCGAAACAAATAATGGAAGACTATTAAAAACTAAAACATGAAAGGAAGAAGAGATTATATATAGCTTTGTGAACAATCAACAAACCTGACTAATATTGTTTTGCTTTATCCAAAGTTCAATGCGTTGGTATCATTCGTCATCAACATTATCACACAATACATTATCTTTTTACCAAAACAAGGGGATAAAAGATATCAGGTGCGCAAAGTCAAATTTGTCTGACAAATGGAGACATAACTCATAAGGTAAATCAAACAGATGTATCAACCCGTATATCATGACCTCAAATTCAGGTAAAAGCATTCAACTGCACTGTAAGCCCCAATGACAATTGGTTACAAAGAGGCAAACATTTAAGCAGTACAAAACTCTTACTTCTGAGCCTCGGTGTCATGGGCAAAGGTGGCAAAACATAACATTTCATGAGCTTAAATATCAGAAAAAGAGGGGCTTATAGATCTGCCCATCCCCATCGACATATCGAAAACAATCCTAGCACAAGCAACCATAACAGTTGATATGTCATTAGGGTATTAATTATTATTTATATAAACAAATTCAATATTTTCATTAGCAGTAAATCAAAAACTAAATATAGTATTTCTTGAAAGCCTCTATTCAGAAGAAATAAGCTTAGGGGGTATTCTGATCACGTGTCACTTGAAACTGCAAACTAGTAAGCATATCTTTTTGTAAAAACTGTTTGAAGAATTAAGTAATGTAGGGAGATCGAATAACAACATGTCCACTTTGCACGAGTGTGGTAATATCAGAGGAATCGAAAATGCAGAACAGTAGTGGGGGGGGGGGGGGGGGGGGGGGGGGGGGGGGGGGGGGGGGGGGGGGGGGGGGGGGGGGGGGGGGGGGGGGGGGGGGGGGGGGGGGGGGGGGGGGGGGGGGGGGGGGGGGGGGGGGGGGGGGGGGGGGGGGGGGGGGGGGGGGGGGGGGGGGGGGGGGGGGGGGGGGGGGGGGGGGGGGGGGGGGGGGGGGGGGGGGGGGGGGGGGGGGGGGGGGGGGGGGGGGGGGGGGGGGGGGGGGGGGGGGGGGGGGGGGGGGGGGGGGGGGGGGGGGGGGGGGGGGGGGGGGGGGGGGGGGGGGGGGGGGGGGGGGGGGGGGGGGGGGGGGGGGGGGGGGGGGGGGGGGGGGGGGGGGGGGGGGGGGGGGGGGGGGGGGGGGGGGGGGGGGGGGGGGGGGGGGGGGGGGGGGGGGGGGGGGGGGGGGGGGGGGGGGGGGGGGGGGGGGGGGGGGGGGGGGGGGGGGGGGGGGGGGGGGGGGGGGGGGGGGGGGGGGGGGGGGGGGGGGGGGGGGGGGGGGGGGGGGGGGGGGGGGGGGGGGGGGGGGGGGGGGGGGGGGGGGGGGGGGGGGGGGGGGGGGGGGGGGGGGGGGGGGGGGGGGGGGGGGGGGGGGGGGGGGGGGGGGGGGGGGGGGGGGGGGGGGGGGGGGGGGGGGGGGGGGGGGGGGGGGGGGGGGGGGGGGGGGGGGGGGGGGGGGGGGGGGGGGGGGGGGGGGGGGGGGGGGGGGGGGGGGGGGGGGGGGGGGGGGGGGGAGGGGGGGGGGGGGGGGGGGGGGGGGGGGGTTGTGTGACATAAACCAAACTACTACTGACAGCATTTATCAAGAGAGCTGTTGTTCCACAAAAAATTTCACAACCCCTTGTAAGTTGTCCCAGATAACTAAATTTTACTAGAAGAACGGAGAGTTTCTTATTATGACCTTAATGTCAAATACAAAGATTCAATAGCACAGTAAGCCTCAATCACAACTGCTAAAATCATTAAGGTAAACACATAATGCAATCCCATTCTTCCAAAAAAAGAATCGAAAAAGGGAACCATTTCACAATCAAGGACCTTGATGCTATTGACAAAGGGAACCATTTCAATGCACATGTACAACATCCAAAATGCAACAAATAAAAGCATCATGAGAAACCAAGCAACAGTAACATTTCCGATGACACAAGGGTATGTCCAAGAGAATAGTAGTTAATGATTCATGATTGCAAGGAGAAGCTTATCAAACACTCGAAATAAGAGTCAACATTTCTTGTACCCTGAGATGGAGAACTACTTGGAGCCCAGTCATGGAAAGCTCAATGCTCACTCACGGAAGATAATCACAGAATTGGTGGATAATCTTGGTGAACCTAACAATTTCTCAGCCAATGGAAATAAATATTTGTACGCACAGTTCATTGAACATTTCTCGCACCTTCTTCTCTTTGATATGATAACAAACTTCTCCAAAACTAATGCATTCTTTAACAAAAATTCTGAAAGTTCAAAAAGATTCTTGGCATAGGACCAGTTGAGATGATTTATCAAGCATATCCGGGAGGAGATGGCAATCTTAACATTCTTGAGGTTGGGAAGCACAAAGATTGAAATCCATCTCTGCAAATTGATATTATTTTCTTTGACCAAATCTTGTAACCCAAAGCAGCAGAAGGTAGCATCAGGCTGGAAACAGAATACGATCAGGGACAAATACATGTCAGCCTAATGGAAATTGCAAAAAAGTTGCAAAAGAAAACTTTGAAGTAGAAATGTCGGGTGAAAAATAAATTTCAGAGCCAACAAATTTAATGATACCTGAAAATGATCATAATGGCTATTCTTTTCATAAAGAGACTCATGATGTAGGTAGCCAAAAATTGATAACACATTTTTCACAAGAAAGCAATCACGAAGCTATACGGTGACATAAGCAAAGTCTCTTAATGACAGTTAAGGATATATTTGTGTTGAGATGGTTCGTGCAACTGTAGAGGAGATGTGCAAATGCCCCAGTGAGAGGTTGGCCGTGGTGGGCCTTAGAAGAGGGAAACTCCTAACACACTTAACTCTTTCTATGGTGTAAAATGATGTACAAAGGCAAAAAGGCAAAGCTTCATAAAAATTATGTAAAAAGAAGATACAAAGCAACAGAAAGTTACATGCATAGCTCTTATGTCTATGTTGAGACACTCAACATGAGGTGATGCTCGCAAAAGGCCAGCTGCTCCAAACACACTTAACTCTTTCTTATGCAACTCCAGCGTCAAATACTTGCATTTCAATTCTGGAATTCGCACCCCTTTGAACTGCAACATGCACAGGACCTGGTGCAGTACCAATGAAAAAATCGGAGAAAGCAACAAAAAACAACAAATAGAAAGTACTCCACAACAGATACAGTGTTGTGACAAATAAACCATCTAAACACTTTAAGCAACATCAATGTACGAAAATCCTGGTGTCTAGATATAACTTTGGCAATATGATAAAAGAAATACCCGACTTCACAAAATTGGCAAACGGATTGCATAAAGGTCCACAAAATTCTCTAACTCAGTTCTTTTAATCAAGAAATCCGCGAGGGTCAGAGGCCCATGGTTTGAAAGTCAGTGGAGAACAAGCCCACCACTCTACCCTTCTCCACAAGTTTTTTACAATTAATCCAGTTGCTTTAATGGATTGTGTATACAAATCTCCATTGTATAATGTTTATCTGCAACTGTCTGCTAATAATCAATGAGAGAAAATAAAGACTTTTGAGTTTAAAACAAACCTCTATGAACCATGTTCCAACTGTTATCTTGCTTGCACTACTCAGCTTTTGAAGATAATCCCACACGAGAATCATAAAACCTTGATGATAGCCACGACAACTATCTTCGTCATCATCAATTTCTTCATCAAGCAAATATTGGATGTCTTTGATACATGTAATCTCGAACGTAAGCTTAGCATTAACCAAGGAGGATACGTCTACAAGCCTACACTTGAAACCATAAAGAATTTCACAAATCTCCAAATGCTGAAGATAGGGGGCAACAATTTCCAAGGAATGATCAAGTTCATCATCATTGTATGCTATCAAATTTAGTCTCTTCAATTTTGAAGACCTAATTTCCAAACGACTAAAACCCTTAAAACGAGATAATTCCATAGTTTCCAATACAGGACATCCCGACAGTAAGTTCACAATATGGTCATTAGATAACACCATCCACTTCAATTTTATGCTCTTTAGAGACTTCCATGCTACAGCCACATTAGCATCAAAAGAACAGAATCCCAAAACTAGTGTTATCAACGACGAACAGGTGTATAAACATTCCGGCAATGCATAAACCTCTTCTTCAGAGACTGACTGGATTTTCAAATTTTCCACTTTCTTTTCAATAGCAAAACTAAGCCATCGATCCATGTCCGACTTGTATGCATCCGGCTCATTACTATCGAGTTGAAACTTTTTAATTTTGGGAGAAACGGAATGACCTAATACATAATCAACATAGGATACATACCACTCATAGTTTCCAAATGTACTAAAAGAGAAACTATCAAGTGATTTCCAAAGATAGCGCCACCTTTTTGAGAGAGCACTTGTCACAAGTGCGGCTTCGGTCGGCATAAGAGAGAGAATGTGAAGGAGAAGATCGTCCGACAACTGATTGATTCGGTCTACAGCTGTTGTTGTTTCTTCTATGTTTTCGCCGGAATCCATGGCTATCTTCTCGCCGAAATCCATTATAATTTTCAGGTAATGTCACTCAGATCTAATGCACCCCTTTCCGTTACAATGTGAGGAAAAATGAGTAATAAATGGGGATAATTTGGTCCACTTTGATTCAATCATGACATAATTGTTTACAAAAATGGAAAATAGTCATAAATGTGTTAGGTACAGTTGAACAAAAACTTGTATTTCGTCAATAGTTTGATTTCAAAATGTGTAATCCTTAATAATTTGGTCAAAAAGTTTTCTTACCGCTAAAATTTGGTTTTAAAAAATTCACATTGTTGCTTAATGGATCAAAAATGTCTCTATTAACTGATAATAACTTTGTTCAATAGGAAAAGAATCCCATAATTGGAAAAGCTTGGACTACAATTTCTTAAGATTGACATCCATTAGAATATATGTTTTGAAAGTCAAAAGTTTTATGAAGGGTGTTCAAACTTTGAATGACCCCCCCACCCCCGATGATTGGGTGCACCAAAAATTATATGATAAAAATGTGGACATCCGAATCGAACTTGAGTGAAGCAAAATGGCAGGATACAAAATGATAAAACAAATATGCGGACGCTAGGAATCGAACAGGATGCCATGCCGCTTTGTGCCTACCCTTGCCGCTAAACCACTGCTCTCTATTGCATCAAACGGTGTTCAAAATGTTCTATTTACCAATATAAAGTAAAATTTGACCGATATATACAACGTAATTTTTCGGTGAAGGATATTTGACTAACCATCCTTGCACCACCGTAGCTCCGTCCTTGTTTGGAACTTTAATCAATTTATTGAAGGACATTTTGGTACCTACTAATTTTGCTTCCAGCAATCTCCTTATTAGATCAATTCCAAAAAATCTTCAACCCCTCACTATTTACACTCCACTCCTACAGAATACTTGGGACCTCACCCAACTTACTTTTAACATACCTCCTATAGTCTCTGCGCTTATTCATGCTACCTATATTTCACCAGTTTTGTGTACAAACACCTTTGGTTGGTTCCCTAATCCTAATTGTTATTTTGGCATCAGATTGGCTTACCATTTCCTTCTCCACACCATACTCTCTGAGATGGATCATGAAATCCAGTCATGGCTTTGGATATTACACACACCCATACATATTCAAAGCCCTATGTTTTACTCTTACCACTACTCTCCTCTTTTCATCACATTTTCTTCAAATGTCTAGAAGTCCAACATGTCTAGACTTTCTTTGGCATCCCGTATGATTCAACATTCAAATACACCCTTTTTTTAATTATTTAAATCTGCGTGGAGGTGGCATGGGGGTTTGACATTGACCCCTACCTTGTCTATTATCAAATAAAAAACATAACACATGAAGGAGGGGGACATAAAGCCAAATCTCCTTGTCATAACTAAGTAAGTTGGATAATCCAACTCTTTACAAGGGAAGTTGACAAACTAAAAACCGATAAAAATATAATAAGTTGGAGGTATGGACTAGAAGGAAAAAGATCTCCAACCTTTACCAAAGCAAATAAAACCTAGACTAGCCATTATCATCAAAGATGAAAGAAGAGTTAGATCCCCTAATTTTGAAGCTAACAAATTGATGCTTGTCCATATAGCAAATCCCTCTTGCTTGTTTTGGAAGTTCTTGATAAGATGAGTACCATTTCACATTTTCAAGCACTGACCCTTCCTTGGCCAATACATTAGCTTCCTTGTTTGCCTCCCTATAACAATGTGATATGTGAAATTCATCAAAGGTAGTAATAGTATTCTGTATAGTATCAATGTTGTGTCTTAGATTCCAAGGTGGTTTCATCTTGCCTGTAACCCAACTGATAACCAATGAGGAATCTAAGTCAACAATGACCATGTTGATACCATTTTCCTTGCACCATTCAATTCCAATACACAGAGCCAAAGACTCAGCAACATTGTTGGATACCAAAGTGGCCGAAAAAGCTGAGATAAATTCCCCGTGATGACCTTGAAAATTCCCCCACCACCACATCCCTCAGGATTGCCTTTGGAGCATCCATCAGTATTGAGTTTAATCATACTAGAAGAGGGGAAAGTCCAGGATGTTATGAGAATTTTAAGTTTGGGTCTAGCATTGTCACAAATATACATCATATGATTCGAAGTGATGTTGCTATCTATCTGGTTAAACTGATTGTGCATGAATAGCATCAACACTAATTAGGTGGGCCGCTCTAGGCATATAAAGTCTGACTTGTTCATACCTCTTCTTGCATCTAGCCTTCCATATCTGGCAATTAATAAGAAGAGGCATAATTTGAATCATAACCTTGTGAATAGGATTATGGGTTTTAGCAGTCCACCATACCATCATCTCTTGATTGATTCCTCCACCGACCTCCTCTAAACCAAACTGATTCCTGAACACATTCCAGATGTTCTTGCTGAAATTATTTCTTTTGAAAAGATGCTCCAAATTCTCATTGCAGTAGTTTTCACAACATTCATCTGTTCTAGCAACTGGGTGCTTTTTGCTGCAGTATTTAATCATCAGGAAAGTAGACTAGAGAGAGTTGTGAGTTCTGAACAACCGCCATAATTTTGCAATGAAAGATTTGGATATGTCAGATAGTTGTCTTATGCCCAACCCTCCCTCTTCTGTAGGATAACCCATTTTGTTCCAAGCAACCAAGTGGATTTTTTTCTTCACAACATGGATAGGGCATCCCAAATATTCATGTAGTTTACAGAACTGAACTGCTTGTTTATTATATCAACGTTACATGTATATATTAGAAAAAAGCATCATCAAAGGTAAGAAAATATCTTACATATCTCTTATGATTCCTACAGATCTCTCCTATCTATAAAAGGTAATAGAATGTATTTACAATATTCTGTAACACTCCCTCTCAAGCTGGAGCACATATATTGATCATGCCCAGCTTGTTACACAAATAGTTAACCCGAGCTCAATTCAACGCCTTTGTGAACAAATCAGCTAGTTGCTCTCCAGTCTTCACATAGCCTGTGGAAATCAGGTTTTCTTGAATCTTTTCACGAATAAAATGACAGTCCACCTCAGTGTGCTTAGTTCTTTCATGATACACTGGATTTGAGGCAATATGAAGAGCAACATGATTATCACACCAAAGTTTTGCGGGTGTGGGATACTTCAACCCAACTTCACTTAAGAGGTGATGTATCCACATAATCTCACATGTGGATTGTGCCATAGCTTTATACTCGGGATCTACACTGGATCAAGATACAACATTTTGTTTCTTACTTCTTCATGACACCAAATTTCTACCCACAAAGACACAATAGCCAGTAGTAAACCTTCTATCAATCTTGGATCCAGCCTAATCGGCGTCTGCAAAACACTCAATGTGAGTATGTCCATTGTTACTATATACTATGACAAGTCCAGGGGTGCCTTTCAAGTAACATAATATTTGCTCCAAAGCTTCCCAATGTTTGACTGTAGGCGTGGACATGAACTGACTAACAACACTAACTGCAAAAGCAATATTCAGACGAGTTACAGTGAGATAGTTTAATTTCCCAACTAATCGCCTGTGTCTCTCTGGATCATTGAAGGGATCACCATCATCTTTTGTTAGCTGCATATTGGGAACCATTGGAGTACTACAAGGCTTGGCTACCGACTTTCCAGTTTCCTCAAGACGGTCAAGGATATACTTTCTTTGAGATAAAAATATTCCCCTCTTACTCCTACTTAATTCTATTCCCAAGAAGTATTTCAACTGTCCCAAGTCTTTCGTGTGAAATGTCGAATGCAAGAATGAGTTGAGAGAAGATATTCCTGCATAATCACTCCAGTGATGATAATGTCGTCAACATATACAACAAGAAGAATAATGCCAACTGATGATTGTCTGTAGAAGACCAAATGACCACATTTGCTCTTTGTAAGACCAAACTTCTAAACTACCTCACTAAAATTCCCAAACCAAGCACGTGGACTTTGTTTCAAACCATACAAGGATTTCTTCAAGTGACAAAGTTTCCCATTCTCCCCCTAAGCAACAAAACCGGGTGGTTACTCCATATACACTTCTTCTTGGACATCACCATAAAGAAATGCATTCTTGATATTCAACTGATTAGCGACCAATTCTTAGAAGACACATTCTTAGTTGACTGATCAACACTACCACAAACTTTCTTATGGTGTTCTAAGCTCGATGGAGTGGTCTTATAAATGAGCCATTCTTCTTCTTTCTTCCCCTGAGTGGGAGAAGTGTCGGGAGAAGAAAAAAAGGAAATGTTCTCAGAGAACACCACATCTATGGACACCATATATCTGTTAAGGGTTGGAGAGTAGCACCGGTAACCTTTTTGTAATCGAGAATATCCCAAAAAGACACTTCAAGGCCTTTGGATCTAGTTTAGTATCATGGGGTCGCACATCACGAACATAACAAGTACTTCCAAACACCTTTGGCTCTAATGAAAATAATGGCTTATTAGAAAAGAGAACACCATAGGGAATATCACCATTAAGCATTGTGGATGGCATGCAATTAATTAAAAAGCTAGTTGTGGATACCGCATCTGCCCAAAATTGCTTAGGTACCTTCATTTGGAATAGCAAAGCAGGGGCACTCCCAAGCAAATGCCTATTTCCTCTCAGCTACTCCATTTTAAGAGGGTGACTACACACACGAAGATTGATGAAGAATACCATATTGATTCATGTAGTTCTGAAATGATGCTGACATGAATTCTTTAGCATTATTACTCCTCAATATATGGATAGAAGCATTAAATTGCGTCTTAATCTCAACACAAAAATTAGAGAAATAGGAGAACACTTCAGAACAATCATATATCATATATCATATATATATATAAAAGAGAACCTTAGGCCCGCCTACGTGGCGCCACCACAAACCAAGTTTCCCTTTTAATTTATTTATTTCCAAAATTAGACTTCCCTTTCATGAAACGTTGTGACTTTTATGAAAAGTTGTGACTTTAATGAAAAGTTTCGACTTTTACGAAGAGTTGCGACTTTTATGAAGAGTTGCAACTTTTATGAAGAGTTGCGACATTTATGAAAAGTTTTGATTTTTATGAAAAGTTGTAACTTTTATGAAAGGTTGTGACTTTTCCAAAGAGTTGTGACCTTTCCGA